GTCATTTCCCCTCACTGGCCGGCAGGGGGCGCATGGCCGAGGACCGCTTGCTTGCTTTGGGTGAAGCGGGGAGAGATTTGGTGAATTACAGGATACAGCAGCAATGTGCAACCAGACACTTCTGTGTTCTGGGTGTTTCACAGTCAAATTTTTGTTAACTCGTGGAATACGTGTATACCATGCAGATTCGCAGGTGACTTTTACAGTTGCATAGTTTTGTGGGGTTTATTTTTAACATCTTTATTGGAGTATAATTGATTTACAGTGGTGTGTTAGTTTCTGCTGTATAACAAAGTCAATCAGCTACACGTATACATATATCCCCATATCCCCTCCCTCTTGTGTCCCCCTCCCACCCTCCTTATCCCACCCCTCTAGGTGGTCACAAAGCACCGAGCTGATCTCCCTGTGCTATGCGGCTGCTTCCCACTAGCTATCTATTTTACATTTGGTAGTGTATATATGTCCATGCCACTCTCTCACTTCATCCCAGCGTATCCTTCCCTCTCCCCATGCCCTCAAGTCCATTCTCTACATCTGTGTCTTTGTTCCTGTTCTGCCCCTAGGTTCTTCAGAACCTTTTTCTTTTTTTTAGATTCCATATATATGTGTTAGCATATGGTATTTGTTTTTCTCTTTCTGACTTACTTCACTCTGTATGACAGACTCTAGGTCCATCCACCTCACTACAAATAACTCAATTTTGTTTCTTTTTATGGCTGAGTAATATTCCATTGTACATATGTGCCACATCTTCTTTATCCATTCATCTGTTGATGGACACTTAGGTTGCTTCCATGTCCTGGCTATTATAAATAGAGCTGCAGTGAACATTGTGGTACATGACTCTTTTTGAATTATGGTTTTCTCAGGGTATATGCCCAGTAGTGGGATTGCTGGGTCGTATGGTAGTTCCATTTTTAGTTTTTTAAGGAACCTCCATACTGTTCTGCATAGTGGCTGTATCAATTTACATTCCCACCAGCAGTGCAAGAGGGTTCCCTTTTCTCCACACCCTCTCCAGCATTTATTGTTTGTAGAGTTTTTGATGATGGCCATTCTGACTGGTGTGAGGTGATACCTTATTGTAGTTTTGATTTGCATTTCTCTAATGATTAGTGATGTTGAGCATCCTTTCATGTGTTTGTTGGCAATCTGTATATCTTCTTTGGAGAAATGTCTATTTAGGTCTTCTGCCCATTTTTGGATTGGGTTGTTTGTTTGATATTGAGCTGCATGAGCTGCTTGTATATTTTGGAGGTTAATTCTTTGTCAGTTCCTTCATTTGCAAATATTTTCTCCCATTCTGAGGGTTGTCTTTTCATCTTTTTTATGGTTTCCTTTGCTGCGCAAAAGCTTTTAAGTTCCATTAGGTCTCATTTGTTTATTTTTGTTTTCATTTCTGTTTCTCTAGGAGGTGGGTCAGAAAGGATCTTGCGGTGATTTATGTCATAGAGTGTTCTGCCTGTGTTTTCCTCTGAGAGTTGTGCAGTGTCTGGTCTTACATTTAGGTCTTTAATCCATTTTGAGTTTATTTTTGTGTATGATATTAGGAAGTGTTCTCATTTCATTGGTTGCATGGTTTTGTAATTCATGCGAGCTTGGGTCCCCCTGAGATCCCGGGACTGAGGTCGGAGGAATGAAGCCGAGGATGGGGCACAGGTGAGCTGTCGAGGCTGACCAGTGTTAACGCAGGCCCAGACCTGCTCTCCGGCCTTACTGCTGGGCTGAAAGGAGGTGATGTGAAAGCAAGACAAGGGAACCAGGAAGCGCAGGCGTAAGTCCGAGTGGGGCCTGTCCCTGCGGGGCTGCTTCTGCGAGTCCAGATCCTCAGACAGAAGTTTCCGTGCTAACTTCCTGCACTGGCAAATTGAAACTTCTGAACCAGAGCCAGTCCTCAGGGACCTTGCAGGGCCACCAGCTCAGCTGCCTTTTTCATTTTTTCCCACCTCTTGCTGCCCTTCCCCCAACTTGAGCACACAGGCTCCACCCCCTCATGAAAATCCGTACCAAGAAGATAATTTAATACCAATCCATTAAGGCCTTATTCTGATGAGCAAGTATATTAACTCTTCCAAGAATGATCACATAGAGGCATAGACTTCTGTGGTCAAAGGGACCTGAAAATCAAATATTCAAACAGTGAAAGATGTTCCAGAACTAGCCTATCTTTGTCCCCCTGTAGAATTCCTGACAAGAAGCCACAAAGCCTGTTCTGGAGCAGCTTCCTGGACAGGACTAAGGCTCAGAGAGATTAAAATACTTGCCCAAAGCCCTACAGCTACTAAGTAGAAAACTCACATCCTTTATGAATGCAGATCCAGATTGTCGGAACCGAGGTTCCAGGAACCATGTTTGTTTCGGTCCCCAAGCTGTCCGTTCCTGGTAAGCAGAACTCGAAGCCCCAAAGTTCACCAGCCCCGGGGTGCACACACCTTTTCCCAGTTATTCAATCAAACGCTAATCTCAGTGCAGTGGGAAGGGATTCTGCAGGTGTAATTCAGGCCCCAAATCAGTTGACCTTAAAATAGGGAGATTACCTGGCCGAGCCTTCACTAAACACGTGAGCCCTTTAAGGGAGAATTTGCTCCAGCTGGTGGCAGAAGCCTTCGGTTTCAGTGCAGTGGAGATCCTCTCCTGGTGGCCTTGAAGGTGAGGCTGCCGTGTCGCGGGCCACGTGCTGGTGTCGGCAGGCACCTCTAGGAGCTGAGCACGGCCTCTGGCCGACCGCCAGGAAGCCAGCAGGGGCCTCAGACCCCAGATTGCGGGCAACTGGATTCTGCTAACCACCTGAGGGGTGCTGGGGGACCCGAGCTGCAGATGGAGCAGCTTGGACGGTCGGCTGTGCCTGGCCCCCAGCAGAGAACCCGCTGTGCCACGCCAGACGCCGTAAGTTTGTTATGAGGGTCCCGCCATCGGGCTTGCGGTAGCGTGTTGCACACAGTGCACGAGAAAAGTGCACCACGGCCTCCCCTTTGGTCTGAGGTCAGTGCCCCTGCCCTGAAACAAGGATTTTACTTTATTAGTTTTAATTATAAAATGCTCTTTTAAAATATGTTATTTATTTTATTGAAGTGTAGTTGATTTACAGTGTTGTGTTTCAGGTGAACAGCAAAGTGATTCGGTTTTATATATATATTTCTTTTTCAGATTCTTTTCCATTATAGGTTATTACAAGATGTTGAATATAGTTCACTGTGCTATACAGGAAATCCTCGTTGCTTATCTATTTTATATATAGTAGTGTGTATATGTTAATCCCAAGTGCCTAATTTATCCCTCCCCCTCCCCCTTTCCCTTTTGGAAACGGTAAGTTTGTTTTCTATGTCTGTGAGTCTGTTTCTGTTTTGTAAATAAATTCATTTGTATTATTTTTTTAGATTCCACATATAAGTGATATCATACAGTATTTGTCTTTCTCTGTCTGACTTACTTCACTTAGTATAATATCCTCTAGGTCCATCCATGTTGCTGCAAATGGCAGAATTTCATTCTTTTTTATGGCTGAGTAATATTTCATTGTATATATGTACCACATTTTCTTTATCCATTCATCTATCGGTGGACATTTAGGTTGCTTTTATATCTTGGCTATTGTAAATAGTGCTGCTATGAACATTAGGGTACATGTGTCTTTTCGGATTAGAGTTTTTGTCTTTTCCGGATATATGCCCAGGAGTTGAATTGCTGGGACCATATGGTAACTCTGTTTTTAGCTTTTTGAGGAACCTCCATACTGTTCTCTGTGGTGGCTGTACCAGTTCACAGCCCCACCAACAGTGCGAGAGGGTTCCCTTTTCTCCACACCGTCTCCAGCATTTATTATTTGCAGACTTTTTAATGACGACCGTTCTGACTGGTGGGAGCTGACACCTCAGTTTAGTTTCGATTTGCATTTCTCTAATAATTGGCGATATTGAGCGTATTCTCATGTGTTTGTTGGCCATCTGTATATCTTCTTTGGAGAAATGTCTGTTTAGGTCTTCTCATTTTTTGATTGAGTTGTTTGTTCTTTTTTTGATATTGAGCTGTATGAGCTGTTGATGTATTTTGGAAATTAACCCCTCGTCGGTTGCATTATTTGCATGTATTTTTTCCCAGTCTGTTTACGGTTTCCTTTGCTTTTAAGTTTGATTAGGTCCCATTTGTTTATTTTTGCTTTTATTTCTATTGCCTTGGGAGACTGACCTAAGAAAATATTGCTAGGATTTATGTCAGAGAATGTTTTGCCTATGGTCTCTTCTAGGAGTTTTATGGTGTCATGTCTGTGTTTAAGTCTTTAAGCCATTTCAAGTTTACCGTTCTGTATGTTGAGAGGGTGTGTTCTAAGTTCACTGATTTACACACAGCTGTCCAGTTTTCCCATCAACACTTGCTGAGGAGACTGTCTTTTCTCCGTTGTATATTCTTGCCTCCTTTGTTGAAGGTTGACTGTGGGTGGTTGGATTTATTTCTGGGCCTGAGACAAGGATTTGAGTGGAAGTTTGTTAGGGGGCTGATCCCAGGAAGCCTGGGAGGGCAGTGGGCACGGAGCGGGGAAAGGAAGGAAGGAAGTGGCATTCTGCACTGGGGTCTGTAAGAGACCCCATCACTGAGTTGCCCCCCTGAGTCAGGGAAGCTGGGCTATTGAGCCTCCAGTTTGTCCTTGACTGATCTCCTTCCAGAGGGGTGTTACAGGCAGGACACGCAGAAGGGGGCCTGGGAAGGACAGTCAGCTATGGAGGTGCTCATTCGGAGGTACCCCCCCCCCGCGCCCCGTCTAGCGACACAGGCCACGTAGCCCAGGGTCCTGGTCGGGCCCCTTAGCTGGTGGCGCTGTCTTCTCCATGCTTTTCAGTTCCTGCAGTTTTCATGCTCCCCAGGTGCTCTCTTCACTAGCTAAGCATCTCCAGTCTCTTCCTGGACCCCCATGAAACAGGAATCTGAGTCCTTTACAATCTGGGGTCGGGTGGGGGGACACTGGACCCAGAACTGGCTGGGTGGCTCCCAGCTGAGAGCTGTCACCAGCGCTGTTCTGACCGCGTCAGCTTCCGGGCAGCCGCCTCATTCTGGCGACTCAGGTGAAGCTGTCCTGCTTCTTTCTGGGGCTGCAAAGACCACGTCACCCTTCCTGCCGCTCTGCCCATAGTGCTGAGATCGTAGGGGAAGGACGTTTCATTACTGGGTGGGCCTGGGCCTGGTTCTGGGGGAAGGGCCCCGTGTTCACGGCCAGTTTGCTCAGGGCTGCGTTCAGTATTTAAAATACTTAAATCAGCTACAAGGAACAGGCAGGGTGGAGGCACACGTGATCAGAAGAGGCCACTCCAAGCAGCTGTCTCAGCTGCTCCTAACCTGTGCCTTTGGCCTTCACTCCAGGAAATGCTTGCCTGTTGTCACTGGTCCTCTGAGATGACCAGTCACCTGGGAGCTGCTGTTGGAAGCTTCCCTTTGCTCTTTATTGTCTGCCCTCCCCAGGCTGCTCTGCCGTGGGACGGACCCTCTGCAGGCGGACCCCATCCTTTGAGCTGTGCGGAGAGGGGCCAGAGGAGTGACAGTCCGTGGACCGGGGGCAGTTAGGCCAGGACTCAGGGCCTCTGTGGACACGCAGCCTCCAGCGGGGCACTCAGCAGTGAGCTGTGACCTCCACGGGGCTTAGGAGGAAGTGGGCCTCCCAAGCCAGTGCCCGGGGACCACGCTACATACCGAACACGAAGTTATCGGGCCGGAAGATCTGGCCGAAGGGTCCAGACCTGACCGAGTCCATGGTGCCCGGCTCCAGATCCACCAGGATGGCCCGAGGCACGTATTTGTTACCTGTGGGGACAGAGCAGGACTCAGACCTGCGGTAGGCAAAGGAATCACAGACAGTGCCCTGCTCTCTGGGCTTTTTAGGGCAGAATTCAGCAGGGGAAATTCCAGCATGAGACAGAAGTAGGAGATGAGAGGCGGTTTCTGCTCTACAAAGGGAGATGATGGCCTGCCTCAACATGACAAACATGCAGGAGACTTCAGGAGCTCTGAAGTGTGTTTTTGAGCAGTTAAAAATGCATGCAGGAAGCCTTTCTTCGTCATCTGCATGTTCCTAATACATTGTGTCTGCCGCAGAACAGAAAGCAAGGTGAGGGGGCAGGAAAGCTTCCACTAATCACCGGCAGCTTCATTGTAGTACACGTTGATTCTCTCCAGCTGCAGGTCACTGTCTCCATGGTAACTGCCCGTGGGGTCTATCCCATGCTCATCGCTGATGACCTCCCAAAACTGGAAATAAAGAAAACCGCGTGACGGCCTGGCACCCAGAGTATCAGTAAAGACGGCCCTCCTTCTCCCTCTCCTGTCCTTGGAACAGCGGCATTGTGGTCAGACAGTCGAGGAGACCCAGACAGACCAATAGCTGCCCGCCCTGATCCTCCAGCAGCTGCTGCTGAGGGGCTCAGGAATCCGCCGCGCATCAGCCGTATTATGGCGACAGGCTGAAAAGCTGGGAGGAGCCCTGACGGAGAGTGGGCCCAGCCGCGGGGGCCGTCACCCCCAGGCAGGGCTGAGTGTCAGCACCCCAGCTGGTGGACGGGTCACCCCTGGGGGCAGTGGCCACAGCTGGGACCCTACTGTCAAGTAAAACACATTCAGACTTAGAGATGGAGCAACTTTAATCAAAAAGAGTGTTACCGTAGGGGAAAGCGCTCCGATCTCAGAATGTGCAGCAAGCATGCAGAGTGAAAGAGAACAGGCTTTTCTCCGGCCGGGAGGGGTGAACAGGGCTGGCGCGAACTTTGTGGGCGGGGAGGGGGAGAGGGTGGGACAAGCAGATGTGAAATCAGCTTGCTGCAGCCGGACGAGTGTTCTGTCGTCAGCAGACCCTCAGCCTGTTACAGGTACAGCGTTCACCTGTGTGCTTGCTTCCGCAGGGGGGGCCATGGAGGCGGGGCTGACTGAAGTTTAGTAAGAGGTGGGCAATTGTGAACACCTGGTCGCTGCCCCTGTTGTTTTATACAGACAGAATCTGTGGTTCAACGCTACTAGGGGTGAATAACAGTGTGAGGTTGACGTGGGTTCAGTTAGTTGTCGGGGCTGGGCTGGGTGGGCTTCCAGGTTCTTGGTGGCCCTGAAGGACCAGCTCTTACCATCTGCTGAGCACGTTCCTGGACTGGCAGGTGTTAGAGGCTCCTAGAGAGCGGGGGTTTCACGAGACGTATGCTTAGAAATATTAATTTTAAAAAATATTGCAGGTGAAATTAGGGAGTAAAGATCTGAAGTGGGAAGGCAGTCGGTCGAGAGGCTCTGAGACGTTGGGCCTGAAGCATATTTAAATGGCAGAGTGAGAGCGACAGTGGCAATTTGATGGATTTTTTGGTTTGCGGTAAATAATTTGGGAGGCGACATAGACATTTACGGGATTGCATGCACAGCCGTTACTCCTGACCTCTGCCCCAGGGCCCCTTTGGGCAGCCCACACCATGTCCAATGGCAGACGACTGTTGAGGACTGTTCACTGAGTTCCTGGAGTTCTCTCGTGTTGATGTGTGTCCTCGGTAAGACTGTCCACGGTGCTGGTGACTTCCTGAAGCAGAGGAGGAAAGCGTAGAGGTTCTGGCAAATTGGCCGCGTGGCCCACCGGCAGCAGCTCCAGACACACATGTCTGCATGTGATCTGCAGCGGTCAAGCCTTTTGAGAGCCCTCCCAATCCCTTAGCCTCTTGTTCTAAGGCTTCTTGAGAACCTGGCAAGGAAGGAAGGTCAGAGCTTCTTTCTGCAGCCAGGATTCTGCACGTAGACGTGTAGCTGTAACATGCTTCTGTTCCATGAAGATGTGGCCACAGGTAGCTTTTGGATCATCTCGTGCCTGAAAGCTGAAATCAGAGGCAATAGTACAGTTATGGTGATGAAAGGAGGCAGAGTCTGGTTAACGATTTGATAAGGGCCAATAAGATTTGCTAGTAACAGGATCTGATCCAACAGCAGGCATGATCTTCCCAGTTTGGGCCATGCCCTGCCCCGCCCCATGGGAGACATTTGTAGAGCCAAGAGGTCATATCCACCAGACCCTGCACCATGTCCCACATCCTAGGATGTCTGAATTTCCTGCCCAGTCTGCTCCAAGCCCACTTCTAGCACAGAGATGAGCCTCTCTCCCAGGGTCTTCCTGAGGACACGTTATTGAAACTTAGTACAAAAAAGATGCCTGCCGTGTGCACCTCTAGGACCAAGGGGAGGCCGTGTGGGGAGAGGGAGTGGTGGGGTTTGGTGTGTGGGCTGGGATGTCCACAAACACGCCCCTGAAGCCCAAGAGAAACTCTGAACACGGAGCTTCAGGCGAGCGCCCCAGGCTGGCAATACTCCGTGCACAATGTCACACGTGGGTGCAGCGAAGTGACGTGTCCTGACTCCATGGAAGGACAACAGAAACCCTGTGTTTGGTTCATCTCCGGACTCAGCCCTTTGCATTCTTCCCTCGGCTGATCTTAGTCTGTATCCTTTCCCTGTGAAAACAAAACAACTGTAACTGTGAGGACAACAGCTTTCGGTAAAGTTCTGAGTCCTCCTAGTGAATTATCAAACCTAAGGGTGCTCTTGGGGACCTTTGACCTTGCAGTTGGTATCAGAAGCAAGAATAGTCTTGGAGACCGTTCCCTCTAACCTCACAGTTGGCTCAGATGCTTCACAGTTGGTGTCAGAAGTGACATTTGCTTGTGTGACCCTGACTCGCAGCAACATATGTTTCAAGAAGAGGGGGGATGATGGGGTGGAGGGTGATGAACCTGCGGTTCCTAGGGGACCCCAGGTCGGCTAAGGTGTAGAACTGGAGCTGTGCTGCACTCAGTTATCGGAGGTAAAAGTCACACGATGGCTCCAGCCCCTGAGTAGTTAGCTCACTGGACGCGTGAGAAAATGCGGAGTAAGAAAGAACAAGCGAATGAGTATCCGTCCCTGCGTGTTTGTTCTCTGCAATAAGCAAAGTGAAAGTGGGGTGTTAGGATGGATCTTGAGGCTGCGCCACGCTTGGATTCAGGCTGCTCTGAGCTAACTCAGGGCTGCCACCAAACAGGATAGTTAAGCCAAAGACACAGATGGCTGAGATCTGCAAGATAAGGGGGAAGAGACAAAGGGGAAAGTCAGAGCCGGTCCCAGTGGGGTTCAAATCTGTGAGCGGTTACTATTGGATAAATTAAGCAGACGTTGATGGGATCAGAATAAAGGTCTCACTGCAGCACTCTCAGAAGTCGGATGGACCCATGGGAGCCTCTGCTGGTTCCTCCACGTTGAAGGGCCTTAAATCTGCTTCGTTCACCTTGGTTTGGAGGAATTTTAAAAGCTGGAAGGCACAGATGACAATGAGACAGCTGACCAAGAATTTCATGAGGTGACGGCCCCATAGTCTAATCAGGGCGTAAACTGGCTAAGAGCCCAGGTCCCTTGGGCAATCCCCCTCCCCTGCCCCGAGCTGGGAGCCCAGGGTGTGTGCCTGAAGGTGTGCCTGGGGCCAGAAGGCTCAGGGTGGGAGGAGATGCTTTGGGAGATCCTTGACACGGGGGCCCGTGCACTCTGCTGCCAGAGCTACAGTTAGATTCGGAGGATACCGGGAGAAAAAGAGCCGATGGGACTGAGGTGGGAGTTTGGATGAAAACTGATGTGTTCCAGCAGACTCTGAGAAGTGGTTGTGTGTCCTTTACCTGAATGTTTCATGGGGACAGGTGTTGTGTCTGACGGGAGAATGCCTCCCCTACCTAGTATTATAAACCAGGAGGCAGGTAAAGCCACCCCCAGCTTCATTACTGTTGACTCGACAGCCACGGGGTAGTCACCGAGGTTGCCTGAAGCCCCCAGCTTGCTCATGTGACCGGGGCAAAGTGCGGAGAGGTTATCTGTACAGTGACCCGCGTGGGGTGCAGACCAGGGCTTATGGCAGAAGCCTGTGGATCCCGCCTGGCAGCGACCGCTGGGATTCCCACTGGAGAATTCCGGAAAATTTCCATTGCAAAGATCATTCCTAGCCTGCTTTGAACATTACTTGAAACTGCCCCGATGGCTGAAGGACCTAAGATAACCTTGGACCCTGAAAGACCCGTAATGTCTTGGGTGACGCCAGAGAAATGCTCTCTAGAGAGGGGCGTGCGCAGAGCGTCCCGTGGTGGATGGAGATGGTTTGTACAGGAGAGGGTGCTGGCGGAGCAGGAGCATGAGGAGAGGGTACCTCGCCCAGCACTAACTCTGGAGCCGCCTGCGGTGCCGCTGGACTCCACAGCCACCTGGTTTGCCCTGTCAGCAACTCTCCTGACCAGCAAAGGGCTGCTTGGTTTGTGGCTGGCAGTTATGAAGCGAACGCACAGCATCCCGTCTGGAGAGCTGCTGCTCTAACTGAAGGAGGAAGAAAGCAGTCAGCTCAGTGGCCTGGAAGGCGAGCTATTTGCCTCTATGTTTGGGCTTTTAATGACTCGGGTTGTGGCCAATGGCCTGGCCCTAGGGTCAGGCAGACGGGCAGCGGAGCCTGGCCTGTTAAAGGGCCGCCCGCATGGGGCACAGCCCTGTAGAACTCACTCTGGGGGTTTGAGGGGTGCATCAGTGTAGGGTGTGCTCGCTGCCCATGAGAAGCGCCCCCTTCGGGGATCGGGAGAGGCTGGGACGGACAGGTGGCCATCCTTGAGGTGGCCTCATGGGTCCATGAACTCGGTGGACGTGTGGGTACCACAGCAATGCAGAGACGGGCCGAATCTAGACATACTCCTCCTGAGGCACAAAATGCCAGCCATACAGTCTGTGCAGGAAGGACAGAGGCTGCTCCAGGGGAGGGTAATGCCCACAGCCGTCAGCTGGGGCTGTTGCTACTACCCCCCTCCCCCTGCCGTGGTAGTAGACACTCTGAGTTAGGTTTTGCATGCCTGGTGGAAGAGGCGGTTGTACAAAATACTGTAAAAGGACTGGAATAGAAAGTAGTGTACCAATTTGGACCATGGAGTCCCGTTTCTTCAGATCGAGGACCCCACTCTCATCCTGAGAAATAGTTGGGTAGATCACTGGAACAGGCAATGATTCCTGCGAGGAGGGCCGGCTTACACACCTCTGTGAATGTGTGCTCACACTCAACAGGAAGGGGGCCGTGGAGGGTCCACCGGGGAGGTTCCTCCACTCTTCTGTGGCATCTGGGGTACGAGTGGGAGGGATGCTGATACGACTGTACAGCCCTTGCCCACGTCACCTCAACTTCCGTTTTCTGGATGCAGTGGTCCTGGGACCAGGGCAGCAACCACTGGCCAGTAGTAGGGTTGATGCCTAAGCAAGAGACTCACTGCACCCTCCCATCTTTATGTCAGGATCCCTAAGGGCCGGCGGGGGGTGGGTTGTGCCTTGATCTTATCTGCCAAAACCCGGGTTAACATTGAACATGCAGTTGCGTTGCCTGGTTGCCTGGTGACGAGGAAGCCTCACCTTCCGGACCTCGTAACCCTGGCGACGAGGAAGCCCTCTCCTTCCGGACCTTGTAACCCAGCCCTACGAGAAAGGACAGGGGCACTGAAGGGGTACTTGCCACACTACCATTGCTGCTGCCAACCCAGCATGGAGGCTGAGCCTAGCATCCTTTCCAAACAGAGGTGGACAAGTCTGTTAAAAATCAAATGGTAAATGTGGAACGGGAGCTGAGGATAAAGGAAAGAGTAAGTAAATGGTCTGTGCAGTGAAGGAAATCCAACATTTATGTTGGTGCCTGGAGAGAGACTCGGAACACGAGATGGTGGGGTCGCTTAGCCTGGGTACACCGGCTGCCTGAGAGGGTGGGGCTGTGTGTTGCCGACACCACGCTTGCTTTTGGAAGCTGAATGGGCGAGTGGAAGCCTACGGAACTGGGTGGCGTCACTCACGGAGCGTCGTAGGTTGTGATGATGCCCTGAGATCCCATTGTCGATGACTCGGTGGGACTCTGATGAAGTGTAATCTTTTGACTCTCGATGGTCAGGGTGCCACACTGTGATACGGGGGTGACGCTGGCCTTGTTGGTGAGACTCAACCACCTTATGTAAACAAGTCTGATGATAATACTGATGTTGATGATCAAATAGAGTGAGAAATGGAGTTAAAGCCTATTCAGGACGCAATAAAGTGACTGGCTTGGGGAAGAACTGGGTTGACCCAACCATCAGCTAATTTTTCTGCTGCATATAGTTCTGTACAAGTTTATCATGAGGGGAAAAGTGTAATCAACTTAGTACAAAAAGATGGAAATATATGTACAGGCCTTGTGGGATACATCGATGGGTTGTTTCCTGTTGCTCAGTCTGATAAATACTATATCAAGTATAGATGCTCAAAGATGACTGCTTTGCTGTCAGAGAGCCTTGGCCAAAAGCCAGGGGTGGCCTGTGTGGTGAAGAATTAATCTTACCCAAGAGAGGTCTGGTCTCTTCCCTCGGCTGCCGGGAGGTGATTTCCAGGCCCCTGGAATGTCCTGCCTGATACGAGTGCGCTGTTTGCTTGGGGGACTTTGGCCACTGAGTGTCTAAGGAGTGACTTGCAGTTGGGGTTCTGGGCCACACGGTACCAGGTGAGACCTCCCAGGAACTAGAGACCAAAGGCCTCAGCGTCCAGGAGGAGCTGGGGCAAGAGGCTGCTGGGTAGGCCGGGAGGTGGTCAAGCCCCAGTAGGAACTCTGGGCTCACAGGCTCAGGTCATCGACCTCGTGGGCGATGCTCCATGCGTGTGGTCTCACATCGATGGCAGAGGCTTAATGTGTCCGTGTCCCCACGGGGAGAGGACCACTGGGCCCTTGGCCCTCTGTCGGACACTCTGGGATACCTCCCATGTTTCTCCCCACTCGGCTGATTTTAACCCACGTGCTTTCCCTGTAATAAACCATAAGCAGGAGTAGAACAGCTTTCAGTGAGTTCTGTGAGTCCTTCTGGGAGATTATTGAAACTGAGGGTGGTTTGGGGAACCCCTCAAACTTGTACCTGTCAGAAGTGAGGGCAGTCTTGTGTGTGGACACCGTGCCCCCGGCCCAGACTTTGTAGTTGGCCCTCATTTATTCAGGGGACGTAGTGAGTATTTACTACTGAATTCTGAACCCCCAGGCTTCTCCTTGGCTCTCAGCACGCTGGCAGCCAGGTGTAGGGA